TTTCCCTCTGGTTTAAAAAAATAGTAAAGTTAAATGGTAAGTTTAAATGGATATTAGATGGTAAAGTGAGTGAGATAAAGAGGACTAAATACTGAAAATCTATTCAACAACAGTTGAGTATAGTCAGTGGTAATGCATTGTGTACTTCTAAACAATAAGTGTTTGAGAGGATACAGATGTTAAAGACCCCAATCATCACCCAATGTATACATGTATTGAAACATCACTTAAAGTCATGTCAATGAAAAATAAAATGGAACTTAAAAATATTTAAATCAGCCAGGCGCTGGTGGCTCATGCCTGTAATCCTAGCTACACAGGAAGCTGAGATCTGAGGATCATGGTTCAAAGCCAGCCCAGGCAGGAAAATCCATGAGACTCTTATGTCCAATAAATCACTAGAAAACTGGAAGTGGCACTGTGGTTGAAGCGGTAGAGTGCTCTCCTTGAGCTCAAGAGCTAAGGGACAGTGCCCAGGCCCAGAGTTCAAGCCCCACGACTGACAACAACAAAAATATTAAATCAAAACACATTCTGGACCCCTAAAACACTGGTACCCTGGGGAACAGGTGTCTGCGTCTAACAGTGAAGTCTGCCTCAGCACCACTGTGCCTGCTGCTCCATGCATCCCCAGCGCCCCTCTGTCCCTTCCATCTGGAAAGTCTATCTCCCAGCTCTGCCCCACCCTATTCTGTGCCCAGATTCCTACTCATACTCACAGTCCAGGTGCAAATAAAGAACCTCAAATTTTTTTTGATGATTTTTAGAAAAATTTTTATTATGAAAATACCATACAGAGGAGTTACAATTACATGGGCAAGATAATGAGTACATTTCTTATCAAGCATTGTTGCTTCCTCCTTTGTTTCCCTTTCCTATCCCTTCCCATATCCTCCCACACCTCAAATTTTTATATGTCCCATATACCACACAGATATCCTAGCAGACATTGTTGTACTAAAAATGATGCATATTTATCTAAAATTCAATTGTTTTTAAGTATTTGGATTTGAACTCATGGCCTGAAGCATCCTAGGCTGGTGCTCTACTTGAGCCATACCTCCAGCCCTGGTTTTGTTGTTTTGGTCTTTTGTTGTTGTTGTTGTTGCTACTGTTATTTTTGAGATAGAGTCATGGTACCAGACCCGGGATCTACCTACTTTTGCTGGAATCACTGGCAGTGCCCTGAATCCAGCTTCCCTCCATGGAAATGAAGTCTTGCCAACTTTTCTACCAGGGTTGTCTGAAATCATGACTCTTCCAATCTCAGCTTGGGATGATAGACGCATATCAGAGTTAAGAAGGAATCTTGAAATTTTATGTTGTCCAGGCTGTCTTTGAATTATAATCCTGACCTCAACCATCCAAGTAGATAGAATGATCATTGTGAGCCATTGGCACCCTGCTGAAATTCAATTTTTAACGGTTCTTATTCAGAAACCTTACTTAGGGCTGTTCTTGACCAGTTTTCCTTTCAGCCTTTCTTCCCACTTGCTGTTCTTAGCCAAGTTCTAGTATTTTCTATACTCTTATCACCCACACCTCACCCTATTGACTCTTACTTCCCCTTTTTTTTTTTTTTTTTTTGAGGGCTTTTTAAAATTCTATTTTATTGTAAAGATGCTGTACAGAGGGTAAAGATGCTGTCCATTTCTTGCTGAGCTTCCCCTTCTTGAGGCAGCATTCCTTCTCCATTACACACACCTGCAGTTACACTCACAGACCGTGAACATGCCTGTGTGTGAGTCCTCTCATGTTTGAGTAAATGTGTGCTTTCCCTTCGTTCCCACAGCTATCTGTTTATTTTCAGGGATGACTTGGCAACATTTGGTTTCAATTTCATTCAAATGTTCTATGACTGAGACTTAAGATGAATTAACCATTACATAGGATTAAGTAATATTTTTGCTTACAAAGATGTATCTTAGCAAGATACTCTAGGCTCAAGACAAATTTTTGTTACCTGATGGGAAAAAGGCCAGTGACCCTTAGCGCAGAACTGCATCTGTGCCTGCCGTTGTTCCAGAGTAGACAAGGAGAGGTTCCCTTTCCCTTACAGAGAGTAAATCAGCCGCAGCTCAAGCAGGATCCTACTTGAGTAGGAATGGACTTCTCTGGTTTTGATACTTGGATTTAGGAAATTCTACCTCTATCTTAGGAATGGATGATCCTTCTTAAAGTTCTTTTAAACTTAACTTCGATTCCCTTCTAAGTACAAGAGAACAAGCTCCAGATGACTGTCATGATCTTCGGCCACGTGAGGCTGAATCAGCCTTCCATCCAGACTCCTAATCCTGAGCTGTTCTCCTTAGCCTTGGGGCCAAGGGATGGCCTAGCACTAGAAACAACTAACGCCTGAAGGGTTTTGCATGGGACAAAGTAAAAGTTTCCCTTTAGATGCATTCAACACCTTCTCTCTTTCTCTCAATTCAATGAAATTTCCTAAGTGGGCTACTTTTTGTTGTTGTTCATTTATTTGGGGTAAGCAAGAAACCATGGTGTCTAAGTAACCAAGGTATATAGTGGGGGCGTGTGTGTGTGTGTGTGTGTGTATGCTGGAATGTTCTGTCATGTTGAGGGAAAGTGTCCAGTGGAGAGCTGCCCCTTTATTAAGTCTAGACTACCTCTCTGCTCACCCTGAAGTTGAAAGGAGCAGGGAACTCACCAGGCATAGTGAGAAGGAAAATAAAACAATGATCAGAACCAATGTTAAGTGCATTTGAAGAACTCTGTATCTTATACCCCTCCCACACTATCAAAATTATTCACTAGTCAAAAAAAAGGCTTTGATAAATTCTACGAATATTATTCTATATAATGTAAACAATGGGATGGCGTTATTTAATTTCATGTTTTCAAAAGTTATTTGATCAGGGAACCATCCTGTTCTCCAACTTTAAGAAGTGTCTCACCGACTCACTAATCTTGGGAGTGTGCCAAAGGAGGAGTCTCTCTCTAAAGTGAGCATCCGTGAGAGTTTTGCCATCACTTACGTTCCTTCTCTGATTTACTAACTTCTTACCAGACATAGAATAAAATGTGGCTGGCCTCTATACTGCCTTGAACCCTGCCAGCCAGCCCTGGCAAACTAATCCCTGAGCTCCAAGGCTGTCCCAAGCCTCCATGAGTGTCCAGATGAGGGGCATGTATTCCTAGAAGGGTAAGCAAAGTTGGGCACTAACTGTGGCATAATGGGCAGCCTTGGTAGGAAAAGCCACAAATGCACCTTGAAAGGCCACCTTTTAATAGTCATGGAGTTAGCTGTGGCATAATCTGGAGAGTCTACATGGGGAGGTAGTATGCACCCCTCCCTCAGCCCAGGGAGGTAACGGATCCTCTCTTGATGCTGCCTGTTGAATGAACAGTTGAAGAACAACTTTGCAGGGTTTTCCCACTTGGCCAATAATTGGTCACTAGGAGTTAATGGGCTTGGCCATTGGCCAATTAATGGGTTGCGGTGAAGTGGGGTGGCTCACACTAGCTGCTTTTGGGTAGCTGTCTGCCCAGCTGTGGTCTGCCGGCACTTGAGGAAATACAGAAGCAGAGAGCAATAGAAATGAGCTTTTATTTGTAAAAAGTTACAAAATGATATTGTACAAAAATAAAGTCTGTAGAGAACTTTGGTTGTATAACACAAACAATCAAGACAGATCAGAGAAGTCAGAACTTCCAAAGAAGTGCACTCCTTACTGTACCAGATGGTAATCACAATGATAAAGAAAAATCACAAACTTTACCCTTTTGTGGATTTGGAGGGGCAATTTGTCCCCATTAGAACTTGCTTGTGGTATGGAGGTGATGCTGGGAATGAGTCACCAGCACCTACAGTCTCTTGAGGCAAGGACTTTCCATGGGATCTAGGGGCTAGGGCTGAACTTAAATCATCAGGTAACACATCCACCTGGATCCTCTGAGTAGACAGACAATCCTGGGACTTCATCTGAATTGGGCCAGACAGTTGGAGTTGTCACTGTTTTGAGCAGGAGAGGGTGAAAGAGAGAGGCCCTTTTCCTTTACTTCCCAGGCATGCCAGGGGGAGTAGAAAGGACAGAACCTTGAAGAACTTGGGTTTTGGGGACAAGGAGAAGATGTCGGGTAATTGCCATTTATTGTTTACTTTGAAAAATTAACATGATTATTTGAGGGAGGTCAGTAGTTCACTTAATTGCTAAATCTGTCCTAGTTGTATAGCTAATAGCCATTAAGGTAATAACAGATTATCTCCTGGATAAAACTCCCTTTTATGACATGTATAACAAGTTCTAACATAGGGCCCAGGACAACGTTCATATGCCAGCTGCCAGACAAATGCATCATGGGTGGGTGTAGGAGGTGGTTGCCCCCATCCTTCCTCTCCTCACCTCTGGCCTGGGTGTAAGTCTTGTGTGGGGGCCATGGCCTAGCCAGACATCACTTCCTGTGCATCCTTGTTAGCCACCTTCTCCCCAGGAGCCATCAGGTGAGCAGGCACAGCAAGTATGAACTCCAGGAGGACCTGCTTTCTCTGCAAAGTTATCAGGGTACTCCTGGCTAGGAGTCCTTGAGAGCAAGGTGAGAGGGCAAGGACAAAGGAAGAGGTACCGCAGGCAGGACAAGCCTTGGCTACGTGGCGCAGGCCTTCATTTTATCTTTAGGTTGACATTAAATCTAGGACTACTCACCAGTAGGAATTTAGCCTTTTAAATAGTGCTTCTAGATATATGTGGAGAAGAGTGTAAATACCACAGAAAGTGAAGTGTAGGGCATGTTTTTTTCAGTGATGGAGCAATGAAGAAATGAAGCCCAGTGCCATTGGTTTCTGCTCACCACTCCTGGCAAGAAAGTCACCAAGATGCTCCGTCTCACATACACACACGCACATGCGTGTGTGCGTGTGTGTGTGTGTGTGCATGCGTGTGAAAAAAATTAGGGGAAAATGCTGAGATCTATGGAAATTAATGAGGGATTTTCTTTAAAAAGGTAAAGTAAGTGATTTTTTTGTCGAGCAAAAACCTTTTTATAATACTTTGAAAAGCATGGACCCTTGTTCCCAATTAAAATTTCCTTTTGTCACCTTTCTTTGCATTTTGTGAGCACATATGCTTTGGCACCTTTGAAAAGAAACTTTAATAAATAAGGGAAAAGAGAAATTCATTAGTGAATGGTAATAAATAACAATAACTTAAATCTCAATAAATATCTTCTCTATATTTCTGTATCTGAAACAGATGCATTGCATCGAGTAGCTTCTCTGGTCACTGGTGACCACGCATAAACGGAGTTGGGTATGTAACATCCGTCTCTCTGTAAACCGACAGGCCCCAGGCAGATCTCCCTGGCTGAGGCAGCCCGGGCCTTCCCAACTTGCTCTTTCTAATACTGCCGAAAACCACAACTTGCTTCCTGTTTCTGAGGACATAAGGAAATACTTCTGGGTTTGTTTTGAATCATGAAGACAGCCTTTTGGGTTCCTGGCCAACTTCTTCCCATCCTATCACCATGTTCAAAATCAATCACCAAACTGTTACCCCAAATGCTAATTGTAGTTAAACCTCAGGCTTCAGCTTTCAAATTCAAAAGTGATGATCTTTTGTGTCTCTGCTTTTTTTTTTCTCCCCTCTCCTTTCCAGAGTATAAATCCAGAGTGACAGCAAAGCAAACCTTTCGTACTTTCAGCAGTAAAATGCAGTGATAAAGGAGTGCCATTTCCCTGGTGTCTTCAGACACGTGGAAACAAACCACGGGAGACACCCTGGCCTGCCTCTCTGTGTGCATCCGCGACTGCGACCGTGGTCGGTGATGGTGGATTGTATCAGATCAATGCTGGCATCAGCCAAGCAGGGACACCAGCCCTGAGCTTCTGGTGACACCTGTGGCCATCCTAGAACATCAGACGGCTGTTCTTTCTCCTATCCAGTTTTCTGTAGCTGGATTTCGCTCTACCAGGCTCCCAGGATGGCTGCCTTCCTCTTCTACTGTTTCCTCTTCTTCCTTTTCCTCTTCTGCCTCCTTGGTCCTCATCTTCCATTCTGGGCAAACATTTCTTGGGAACCTTGGTCCCTTTCTTTGTCTTGTAGCAGGAATGCAATACACAGCAGTCTCTGGAGCCGGAGTCAGATACACCCACACCGTTTAGCGGAATGCTTTCTTAGAATATGGTAAACCAGATTATCATCTAAAAACGACAGGTCATCGTCAAAGGCGATGGGTCTGCAGCAAGCCTGCCCTACTTTGTCATTCACTAGCCTTCTACTTCGGGATAAATTTTTAAGTATTTTGTCATACATCGTCTCAGCTGCATCACAAGAGCCGCTGCAGTATCGAAAGATCAGTTCTTCCTTGGTTTCGTAGCCCAAACCCAAGTCAGTGACATTTAAATGTATTGCAGTTAAGACACAGCCCCGATTTTTGCCCCTTTGGCCTTTGCGACCTTTTCCTTTGGAATTCTCTGGGTTGCCAGCTGCTGCCTGACGATTCCGCTCTCTTCGAGGAAGCACAGTCATTTGTTTATCTGGTGACCTTTTCAGTCTTTTAATGGTGGCTTGAATAAAGTCCATGACATCATCAAACTGATCAGGAAAATCCTCTGGCATATTTGCTGTTGAATAAGAAAACAGAAGATATCACATGAGGCAACAATGATCATCTCAGGCAATCTTCTAGATCAAAGTGCCCCTGAAATCAATCAGAACTGGACCCTCAATGAAAGGATCAGCCAGTTAAGCTAAATGCTCCCAATAATCCTCTAAGAACAGCAGCTAAAATGAAAGCAAGACTTCAGTTGAGAGAGGAAACTTAACATGGGGCAGGGGGTTCTACTTTGCAGAACATACATCGTTACAGGTGTGGGTTTCATTTAAATGACATCTGTCAGTTTTTGCACCTGTCTAGGTGACTATGAACAGGCTGACCATGTAAGGCTGTTTTCCCCTAGTCACCTAACCTAGAGTGTGGTTCTCAAGTGAAGTGCAGACTCTCCAATTTGCCCTCAAAGACCTCTAGTTTTCTGGACTGGAGAAGGATCAAGAGACCTTTCTTTTTAAATCAATGCAAAATGAATCAAAGATCTTAATGTATGACCTGACATTTTGAAACTTCTATAAGGAGAACACTTGAAGCTATAAGTGTAAGCATTGACATTGTGAATAGGACCTCAGTGACTTAGAAAATAAGAGCATGAATTGATATATTCATCTAATTAAAAAGCTTTCGCACATTAAAGGAAACAATGACCGAAACCAAAATAATTAAGCGACAGCATACAGAATGGGGGAGGGGAATCTTCACGATTAACAAGATCTTCAGGAATTGTCATATAAGATCTAGTACACTGAACTTTGTGAAACACTATGGTAGAAAAGAATCTGAAAAAAAAAAACTCTTTATCATCTAGAATGTGGAATGCTTATCCTGGCTGAGTGGGGCAAAAACTATCTGGACAGATCACACAGAGTTCCAGACCTCAACTCTGTTTAAAAACTTCTTCACCCATAAAGGGATGGAAAAGCAGTTCATATTTCACTAACAAGGAGGTAATCTGTCAATTCCTTTGAATGGCATGACTTCACAAGAATAAGTTAGACTATTTGGGAATAGATGTGGCCTTGGCCCAGGGTGAGGCCAGTCCCTGGTACGGGCTGCCTCAGGGCTCCCACTGTCTGGCTGCAAATAGCCATATGATGTGAGCTTCAGGAGAATGGCAGAGAAAGGATGAAGATTTGTAACCTCTTGGCGTTTTCTGAACACTCTAGCATTTGCTTTGCTGACTAAGAGAAAGGTAACAAGTGGAACAATTCAATACATTTCTAAACGGAAAGCAAATACCTTGTTTATTAGGTACCAGGCCTTTTATGCTTACCTCATGCATTTTCAGACAACTTAGTACATTTAGATATCTATCTATCTATCTATCTATTAGAAAATTACGCTTCAAAAGAGCTATTAGTCAGAGTAAACACTTTTCCTCCTAAAACTGTGCTCAAGCATGGAAAGGTTACATTGTGTCTATCACACCTCAAAGTAGTCTATCCAAAGTTTATTTAATTGTCAGAACGTAACAGGTTTGTTTTTGCATAAAAGGAAATCTAGCTAAGATGTCAACCGTGTATGTGTGTGTGTGTGTGTGTGTGTGTGTGTGTGTGTGTGTAAGATGCTAACGTGTCTTAGCTAGCTTTGTATTTTTAATAGAATAATATAAATTGTATATACTTAATATGATAGATAGTGACAAGTCTTGGAATTGGAATCCAATAGCGTGTTGTTTCTTTCGTTTGTCCGTCTTGGGACTTGAACTCAGGGCCCTGGGTGCTGTCCCTGAGTTGTTTGTTTTTTTGCTCAAGTTTGGCACTCCACCACGTGAATCACAGTTCTACTTCTGCCTTTTTGGTGGCTGACTGGAGGTAAGAGTCTCACAGACTTTCCTGCCAGGGCTGGTTTCGGACTGTGATCCTCAGATCTTCGCCTCCCAAGTAGCCAGGATTACAGTTATGAACCGTAGGTACTCGCAGCACGTTATTTCTTGATATCTAAAATTTATAGCTGAATGGTTCAGCTGCACAGAAGTGACAAAACTGCTTCTGTCCTGGCTGATGCCACACAATCTCCTGAGTGGAAAATTGGGCTCTTCAGTACATATGTGTATCTTAAAATGTGAGCCCAGCCCACATTCTCTATCTGCTCAGAACCCTCCAACCCTCCATTTCTCCTGAGGCAGAAGCCCAAATCCATACTAGAAAAAAGGCCCCTTCTGGCCTGGCCTCTGCCCCTGGCTTTTGTTATCTCTGACCACTCCCAGCAGCTCTGGCTTTCCTTACTGTTCCTCAAAATGAGGCTTCTCAGCCTCAGCACCAGTGACATTTGGGACTGTATAACTTAGGATACATACTAGAATGTTGAGTTGCATTCCCGGCCTCCACCCAGGAGATTTCAGCAGCATCTCCCAATGCTAGTCATGACAATCAGCAGTGTCTCTAGTCTTGGCCCAGTGTCTAGAAGGGGTTAAGTCTTCCTAGTTGAGATCACAGCCACACAGCCAAGGGACTCAAGGCTTTGAGCTGGCTGCATCCTCTCAGCCTGAACCTCTGCTCCTCAGAACACCCTGGGCTTCTCCACACCTCTTTCAAGTCAGTGTCCAAATGTCATGATCACCTGGTCTTCCCCTGACCAGGAGCCATAACCCTGCTCCCCCACCCCCAGCATGATGCTCACTGTGCCCTTACACCCTCTCTAACTGAGCTCTTATGTTCAGAATCATGCTCTCTTCTTCTCAAAGACAATGTCAAGAGGCAAGAACTATGTCTGGCTGATGTTCACTGATGTTTATAAACCAGTGCTTAGAATCAGGTCTGGCTCCCAGGGGTCCTGACAACTGTTTACCGCATGAGTCACGTCACTGGTAGAGCAGGAAAGAAAATCAAGGGGACACTGGGCCTCGCACTGGGACCCACATCCCTAAACAGGCCAAATGACGTGCTGAGCCTGTGATGCCCTGCATAGCCCACTCACTTTCTTCACCTTCCTCGCCACCTCCTGCAGCTTCAAAGTTCTGTCCAGTCCCACCTCAACTTGGTTCTCCCCAAGGGCTTCTGGGAGAAGTGATTCCTAGGGAGCTGAAAAGTGGCAGTGCCTACTTCTCATTTCCTTGTGGTCCTCCTTGGGGAAATTTTCCTGAAACCTCCACCACCGCCACCATTACAAAATCTTTAAATCACTATGTCTTAAAGAAACAAACTGCTTATTAAAAAGAGTGGTATGTGCCTGTATGTGTATGTTTATGTTATTTGTGATTTGTTTTCCTAATGAGTTATTAAGAGGTTAAAAACAGTTAACTGTCCCTATATTTATTTGCAAAAATAAGTATTCTGTAATTGGAGAAAAAAGCCATGTTTATGTAGAAACTTTAAATTCTATAAATAAGATGGATATATTTATTAGAGGCAATTAATCAAAATATAAAGAAGTCTTTTTTTTTTTGCCAGTCCTGGGACTTGAACTCAGGGCATAAGCACTGTTCCTGAGCTTCTTTTTGCTCAAGGCTAGCACTCAACCACTTGAGTCACAGCGCCACTTCTGGCCTTTTCTGTTTATGTGGTGCCGATGAATCGAACCTAGGGCTTCATACATGCTAGGTAAGCACTCTACTACTAAGCCACATTCCCAGCCCTAAAGAAGTCTTTTTTTAAAGACTGCCTTACAAAGAACTCATTCCATGGTGTCCCTGACTTTAAAGAATTTCTAAGTAGATCATTAAGTAATCTTAGGAACCTGGGAACACAGAAAGTTAAGATTGATTAACAATCAAGTGAAGATCCACAAGAGTAAGGATAAAACATTACTAAAATTTTAACCCAAGTGAATGGCAAAACATCTGAGTTAGGAAAGTTGAAGTTCTCTGGTTTCATGTCTCATGAGTTTGTGTATTATATAATAATGTTTTGAACCACCTTTTACAGTGTCCATATCTAGCCCCGGATGCCTTTGAAGTTCTCGAAAACATTGTCCCCCTTTTAAAACACATTGGAACTGTCTGGCTTTGTCCTGAGCTTTTAGCAGATAACATCTGGAATGTTCAGCTAGGTTGAATTTTAGTTAAATAGCGAATACAATTTTAATAGTTTGTGTCAAATTTTACATTGGACAAATCTTGTAATATCTGGGACTTACTTATACTCCATTATAAACAAGTTTAGTGCCTTTTATTTTAAGTTCTACTTGGCTTTTTCCTGGTGACCCATGCCATCTGTGAATGTACATACCACTTATGGCTTGGGGTGATATAGTGAGCATGCATACTAATGCTGGTTAAAGTACTTCTTGGTAATGGTCAATATATACCATAATACATTTGTCCAAACTCATATCATATCCAACACCAAGAGTGAAGCCAATGTAAACTGTAGATTTTAGGTGATTGTTGTTAAGTCAGTCTAGGTTCATGGATTGATTGTAATGAGCGTATCATTCAGGTGGGGGTGTGGATATATGGAGAAGGCTGAGCACTTGTGAGGACAGGAAAACTATTGGGAATCTGTATACCTGCCTCTTAGTTTTGCTGTAAACCTAAAACAGATTTGAAATTCAAAAACATAATAATAAGCTTTCTGGCATCTGGAAAGGGTGCTAACCTGAGGTCTGACCACTCCCTTTGATGGGAAATCTCTCTCTCTCTCTTATCTTAATGCTAACATGGAAACTATTTAAGTTCCTAGTGTTCAGGCTCTAGGTGATGCTTACTGAGTTAGAGTATTCTTGTCCCTTCATATTCCTGAAAAAAAACTTAAAATCCACAAATGTTTATAGAGGAAGTTTACACAGATACAAATTCTGGACAGAAGGATTAGAAATGAAGACAAACACACTGTTATTTTTCAAGCCACAAACGAACCAAATCCCTAATTCCAGGCTTTTTGATGCCATTCTAGGCCTGGGTGGTGGGGATTAGAAGTCATAATCACCTCCCAGGGTGCTGAGCAAACCCCTCTAAGCCTGTTCTTAGGAATTTTGGCTGGGTATGGTGACACACACCTGTAATCCTCAGGTAGGAGAATCACAGTCTCAAAGTTTGAGACTTCTATCTAAAAAGCAAACAAAAAGGACAGA